TTATTATTATTGTTTTATTTCCTTTGGTTTATGGTGTATACTCATTTCTTTCTGGGTCCTGCCCAGAGACCTAAGGTCAGAAATGGCATCATGACATTTTCCACTGAGTAGTTTTGAAGAAAAAAAAATCACACATATTTTACATAGATAAAGCCCTTCATAGGATGTGGTCTATACTTGTAAGTACAATTTTTTGTATTTCTTTAAGGCAATGAGTCTATTGAATGAATCTATTGGAATCTTTTCCAATCAATTCAAGGGTTCCAACTACAACTGGTTTGTTAATGTCCTCATACGCCACATTTTTGAGATTTTGATTTCAAGGTCCTTGTATTCTGATAGTTTTTTTGAAGACCTTCAAAGATATATTGCAGTCTGCAGGGACTGCCATGTCAATAAGGAGGCACCGTTTTTGTTTGTGGTCTCTAATCACGAGGTCAGAGCAATTAGCTTTGATTGTTCTGTCTCTGTGTGTACTGTAAAGCCTCATAAAATTGTTACAGGTCCTATCTCCATAACTGGGTCTGGGTGGTATTCATACCAATTTCTTTCAATTTTCTTTCCATAAAAGTTGTATATTTTCCAATGCAGATATTGGCCCACTCTGTCATGCTGTGTTCTATATTCAGTGGATGCGAATACCATACAACCTGATACAAGATGGCCAATTGTTTCTGGATATTTATCACAGAATCTGCATTTTGAACTAATTTTGGTAATTTCTAGTTAGCAAGCATTGGTCCTGTGCAGCAAGAATAAAACCTTCAGTCTCAGCTTTTAACCCTACACTACATAGCCACTGATGGGTATGGGGTTTGACTACATCAGCTTGTTTGGTATGGGCAGAGTATTGTCCGTGAAGTGGTTTATCTTGACATCATTTCTGTATCTGGTCAGTTGCATTTGCCTTTGCTTTCTTTTTTAAGTACTTTGCAGCTTCAGTTGATGTATTGTGTTTTACTTGTATGTCTTCACCCACTTGAAACTCCATTTTGAACATGTTGGCTTCCTTTATTACTGAATAAAGTTGTTTACTACTTTCATGTTCTTTGACACAGATTATCATCCAGTCTTCTGTAGTTTCTAGTATCTTATTGTTATAATTATTAATTTTATTATTATTATTATTATCTCTTCCTCCACACTTTTTGTTTTCACTCATCAATCTTGGGAGTTTTCCATCAAGCCATACAAACTCAAACAGATTGCATCTTTCACAGAATATTTGCAATACAAAGTAGTGTAGATTTCTGAAGTGATGGAATACTAGGCTTTATTCTAATTTTCTTAATATAGGGCTTTAAGTTCAGAGGTTTAAGCTCCAACAGCTTAATAATAACTGGGACCCATTCTCTGGATGGTAAGAGATTCTGACCCCACTCTTAACTTGCCCAGAGTTCCAGCTTAAGACTGTAGAGTAGGGGTGACCAAGAGAAGCTGTCCCTAATGGATCTTGTGATGATAAATGACTTAGATCTTTTACTATTCACTTGTACTATTGTTCTGGTGGAGGAATTCAAAAGACTGACCCAAAGTGCTAGACCAATCAATCTGTGAGCAACAACACACAGTTGGCTTCCTAGAATCTTAGTCAGGATTTTTACCTCTGTGCTGAGATTCTAAGTCAGTATTCTTTTATATTATTTGTCATAGTTGCTCTTTCTCAGCAAAGTCGTCACATGCTATATATTGCCTTTAGTAAAATGAGCGTTTGAACACAATTGCTAAGAGATGAACAATCATATGTGTCATTCTGTTGTACAGCTCATACTGCAAGCCGTCAAGTCTTGTTATTACCAACATGCTTCAGAGACCTGAAAATCCCTACCTCAATTATTAGCTCCTTGCATTTTTCCATGTGATTCCAATCTGCGGAAGTCAGACAAGTAATCTTGGAAGTCAGTCTCTTGCTGGTTCAGTTCCTTGGTAAAGAGATTTTGTTAATAATCTTTAAAACAACTGCAAATACCAGCTGACATTAGTAGAAGCTTCCCATTAAAAATACTAACTTCATAGTGCAATGGTTCTCAGGTTTTTTTGCCCAATGCACCCTTTTCATCTTATATCAGAATGTTACCTCCTTTCCAAGATTGTTCCACTCAAAAGGTGTATTCCAAATAATATGCCCATATTATTGAAAATCATCATTCTTTTTCATATTTGTACATATAAATTTACATGGATTATTTTTTAAACTTTTTAAGAGCCTTTCCTTGATGTTCAAAAATGCTCTTGTCCTTGTGTTGAAGAATAAACATTCTGCAAATGTTGCTTCAACTTTGTTGGCTTCAAAGAATGATTTGACAATTTTTTTTTGGCAACAAAATACACATTGAAGCATTTTTTTCTCCATTTTGACCCTAAGACCTGAGTTTAAATTTCACTATATTCACTTTGTCAGGAAAATGATTTCTTAATAAGATTTTGGCACCATTGGGAAGACATCTGCAGTATCCAGTAGCTAGTCACCCTAATTCAAAGTCTTCCATACCAGTGATTCTTAACCCCCCCCTTTTTTTTTTGCTTAATGCACATTTTTCATCCTATGTCAAAATATCATTCCCTCCCATTTCCAAGATTCTTCAACTCAACAGCAGATGCATTTTAAATAATATATTTTTGAAAATCATCATTCCTTTCCATATTAGTCATGGCTGTCCTCTCAGTTTCGAGCGTGACCACCTCTTTCATTTCATGTCCTCACCCCCCCCCCCTCCCCTCAAATTCTATGTATTCGCAGGTGGCTCTTCAGGCCAGCCAATCTGCCACAAATTTTGCCACAGAATTGGCATACCCAATCAGTTTTGTTTACAGTGACATTATTCGGGTGCACACTAGGTCTTGCACATTTATCCATATTAGTACATGTATATTTACATGGATTAATTTTATAGAAGAGTTTTACAAACTTAATAGCAATAGAAATTGTTGATATAATGACATTATATCTGCTGTTGATGACTTTTTTGACCAACAAGATGAACAGTTTTCTTTGAACAGTCAGATCTCAGTTTACCTGGAAAGAAACAATGCAGTTATTAATAAAAAGTGTTGAAATTAATGCATGCAAAATTCCAAAACTCTAGCATCACTCCTTCATAGTCTGCATATGAACATTTCAGCCAAGTCTCATATAAGTTTCTAAAAAAATTGGTATGATAGGTTTACAAAAATCTGATATTAATTATAGGTTTCTACTAATAACCTATTAATGGCCACCAACTTAAAAAGGGATTAAATAAAATTTATATATTTATTTATTTCTGAATTTGACCTCAAGGTCAACCATCCCCACTCCACCAAGAAAAATATGAAAAAATAGAGAACAATAGTATATTGTAATTTAGGTGTCATAACTTACATTAATTGTACAAAACTTCTTTTAATCTTGTGTATGACATTTATACTAAAGTTCATCCAGTACATGACTCAACAGCCGCTCAAAGTAGATGATTACTGTTAAAGTTGTTTTGATGAATGAGGTGTGATAAGAGTGAAAGAGGAGATAGTAGGAAGTAGAGATTATAAGGATAGTGAGGACAGATAACAATTGTACATAGACTTGAAGAGTTTAAGATTATAATGTCCAGGGATTCTGTTCCATAACATAGCATTTCTTGGGGAAAAAAGCTGAGTGGAACTTTTTTTCTTACATTTGGAATATAGAAGAAATGAGGATGATTTGACTCTGTGGAAGTGGCTTGGTGTATCTTAGCAAAGAATGGAGCTTGTTTTATCATTTTTCATGGAAATAGCAATAAAGTAGCAATGTTGAGTCTGCGAGGAAGAGGCTGCAACGTGGTGAATGAGTCTCTCCCCAATCAGATGATGCAAATGATTTTGAACTCTACCAAGACTGTAAAGTAAGGCTTGAGCAGCTCTAGCCCACATGTAGCAGCAGTGCTCCATTTTTGGTCTAATCTGACTCTTGTAGTGATGACTCATTTTCTTTGATGACATGTTTGCACTTATTATGAGTGGATACAAAGAGGTTTCTTGTTGGTATAGTTGGAAAAAAATAAATCCTGTGATCTATAGCGACTGAACAGGAAATTTGCAAGAAGATACAAAAAGCCTTGATGTTGGCTTTCACCTAAGAAGAAACTTTAGAGGTACAATTCTCAGTAGTAAAACTAAAGATTTCACTACAAGGAGCATTTCAAAATGAATCTCAATTGATATACAGATAGCAAAAAGAAGTCTTTTGAATAGGGGTTCATGCCTTATAATATTACAGAATTTACAAGGATGGGAATGTACCATTTTACAGTGTATATATCTGAAGATATCTGAAAGATATGAATAAAAATTGGTCATAAAAAGAGCTATTGATAGTTTTTGAGAAACATAAAAACATCTTTTGGGTGTTTTGAGCATTCAATTCTTTATGTAAAGAATTTGGATCATATTGAAAATACATTTGCATAGAACCTGCTTAACTTTCTGTATATTATTATGTCAAGATAATCAATGCAGCAGTTTTCAAGTCTGCCTCTTAACTGTCAACAGCTGTCATCTAGAACCATTTTATGGATTATATCTGTTGTTTGTATTCACAAAGCTCTGTCATTAAGGATTGATCTCTGTGACCCAAAATGCACAGATGTGATACCTGACACACAATTTGTTCATGAGTAGAGGTACTTTATGTCTAGTTAGTGTGGATGAGTATGATTCTAGCTTGGATACAGCTGATGAACAATTTGGTGCTAAGTAGAGGACAAGGGAGAAACATTTTGTACCTGGGAAGAATGCACAAGCATGTAGCTTGAATACTATTGAGCAACAATCTGATCTTAAGCAGAAGACCAAGAAACAGTACTTTGATCTTAGGAAAAATGCAAAGACATTGAGAAGTTTTGTATTAGCCTAATGCTTATTTTGTTGAATTACCAACCCATTTTGTTAATGAATAAATATTTATGTGTTGACTTCCTTTGCTTACATGTGAAATGTTTTGTAATCTTCTGTTTCATGTTTTTTTTCATCTTATTTTGCAGTTCATGCCTGAAGACATTGCAGAGTTGAAAAATGAGATTTGTTCAGAAAAAAGGAAGGAATGGGTTTTGCAGAAAGTTATTCAAAAACTCAACATAAATTGTGGCATCCAGAATCAATGAAGGTTATGAATAAATTCATTGAAATGTGTTCATTCATCAGTATTTGTACATATATATTAGTATTTTTTACTGATTGTGTGAGTAATGGAATGATTATTTGTGCAGAAAATGGAACCAGCAGGCCAGTTTCAATTCCAGCTGAGACTGTTGCATTCATATAATATTGATGCCATTAGGAAAGTTATGAACCTGAGTCTTCTCTTCCCACCGCACAAGTTATGGGTAAAATAGTGATATTAACACTTAGCTGAGATGAAGAGATAGATTCATACATTTCCCAAGGGTATTTGTGCAGGCTGAACATAATAAACTTGGCCAGAATTCAAACGATTCACTAATTTCTTTTTCTGAGACACTAACTTTGAACTGTGACTGCTGTCTTGCCAACATGCACTTTATTTAAAAGAAAAATTTGTCAATACATTTGGTTGATACAGTTCTAAATTTATACTATTGTACGAGGATGGAAAATTGATATTAAAATCCCTAAAGACATTCTGTTTTGTATTCAATGATGTAAATTTACCAAAACTGCATGAATGTAAAAAAAATACTATCACAACATCATCGTTTTTTATGGGCCATGTTCCTTTGGGACATGGATTAACATGACTCTCCACAACTTCCTATTCCTTTTTAGCTCTTATCAGTGGTTTTCCATTTAAAATAGGAGTAGATGGGTTTGCCTATTGTCTGGAACACACACCTCCCCAGGCTTTTGAACAGGAGTAGAGGTGTATTCTTTGTTTCTTGTTTATGATTGTGTTTCTAGTTCCTTCTAAAGTCTACTTGCACACTGTACTTTAAATGTCTCTGACTAAACTCTGAAATGTTATACACAAATTAAATCTTGACCGCACAAGTCTAAAGTTAGCCCTTATCTTTCTTGCATAGCCCCAACAACTTCCCTTCTTACTCTTTCTTACACTTTTACAACATCACACAGTAACCCTCTACCTTGAGTGGCTCTTGGGCCTTGTATCAGAGGAACATTAGTAAAAAAAAAAAAAAAAATCCCTAACATGTTTCTTTCCTCTGAGATGCATCTTGTTCTATATGCCATGTACCTCCTGGATGTTGGCGATCATGGTTCTCCACAATTTCCTGTTTTTTATAGCTCTTAATAAATTTTGTTTTTTTATTATTTTTCCCAAACCTTGCTCCATCATCCATTTACTCAAGCATGCTAGGTAGATTATGTGTTATTTTCCTCTGTCCTTCTTGCTTTTAATGTCCTGTGAGTATCAAATTTTCCAAGCCCACTTTCCTCATCATGTGCCTTAGAAATTTCAACTGTAACTTCCTGATATTAAATATAAATGTCCTTTTTGTTTCCATTTTCTCTAAAACTTTATTGTTGCTCACATGTTCGGTCCATGGTATTATCAGCATCCTTCTGTAAAATCTGAGATCGACATGAATTAAATATACACCATTGACAAAGTTTTTGATTTGTTTTCTATTCACCCCAACTTCTTTTAAGTACCATCCTTTCAGGACTTGAACAATTATGACTCTCCACGATTTCCTAGTAGTACAAGCACTAAGCAATATTTATCTCCTTACTATCCCTACTATTCATATTCTGCCATTCACTTACACGAGCTCATTATGTTACTTGCTGCTCCCTTTTACCTACAATATGTCCTATGTGGACATATTGGTTAGAATGTTTGCTTTCCAATGGAAAGACCTAGTTTTGAATCTCACCATAGCTGATTTGTCTAGAAGGTGACCTTGATGCATTTGCCCTGGGGAAAGTGCCTGAGAACCATACCATGGGTTGACTCTAGCCTTATGAGTCAATCTGGGTAGATAGTAGATGGCTGTCCTAGCACAAAATTGCAAGCCATCATGACCGAGTATTTGAACATACTGGCCCTCTTCAAGTTAGATGATGTGTTCACTAACAAAAACTCTAACAAATATCTACTCAGCTGTGTTGCAGTATAAACTACAGGCAGACTCTGATATTGAACAAACACAAATTTGCCTGACAGATGAGTGTGCTCAGCCCTGATATCCCATGAGTATTAGATTCACCAAACCCCCTATCCTCATTCAACTGTTTCTTTCTGATTGTAAGTATGTTAGTTTCCTTTTCAACATTTAAAACCAAGTCATGCTTATGTGCACAGCAATGAATGAAAGCACCATCTTAAAAAAAAATCTTTCATTTCTTCTGTATTCAGTAATCTGTTATTGTAATAAAGAGCCGTGCATGCAACACAGTCAGCAGTTTCATATATACAGAAATAAACAGAACACTTTTAGTTTTAATCCAAATTATATTAACTATTAAGTTATCTTAACAACATCAGATATGCATATTATACTATCTCAATAGTAGGCACAGAAAAGAAGCTACATAAGGTAGTAAAAGAAAGTGAGCAGAAAGGACTGAACATCAAAAGAAGACAGAATATACGGCTGCCAGCAGAAGGGGCAACGCAAAATGTGAACTACATATTAGAGATGTCAGAATCAAGCAAGTTCAAAAATTTTAAATACCCAGGTCGTGTTTTAATAGGCTGAAAAATGTGATGATGAAATCCGAAATCACATTGGAAATATACCTCTCAAAAAGCTGTTATGCAATATCAATCCTCCTATATGGCAGTGAATGCTGGACAATCTTCTCAGATTAAGAAAAGACTTGAAGCAACATAAATGTCATTTGACAAAAAGATGCTGAAAATACCATGGAGTGAATATGTGAATAATGACAAAGTTCTGAAGAAAATGTAAGCAAAAAGGACACTTAGAATCCGAAAGAGAATTGAAATTCCTAGAACGCATAATAAAGAAAGAGGGCTTGGGGAATTTGAAACTCACGACATTGAAAGCAAGTGTGACAGAAGAAAACAGCAAATAATCTACATCACAAACTTGTGCAAATGACTGGTAGAACAGGAAGTTGTGGAGAGCCATGAAATGACATGGAACATAGAAGAATTACTTTATCAATTGCAGATATGTCATTTTGTCATTGTTGACAGAACTCGTTGCTGAGTATTGGTGTACTCATCGACATTTCCTTCTGTGCAAAATAAGTCTTATGTGTGATCTGAAGAAATGTCCCCAGCCACCGTGCGGTAGGTTATGAGGATTTAGGGGACGGGGTGTTCTGGTTTATTCTTTGGGTTCTCTTCGTCTTTTCTATTTCTCTTCTGGTGTTTTCAAAGGATGTTGTTTTTTCATGGACTGCTCTTCTCCAATCCGTTCTTTCTGCAGCTTCCGTCTCCCAATTGACCCGATCAATTTCTGTCTTCAGCAAGGTGTTTTTGAGCTGATCCTTAAATTGACAAGGTGGGGGCTCCACATGGTCTCTTGCCAGATGCGAGCTCCAAGAAGAGAATTTGTTTGGGTAGGCAGGTCAAGGTTGGAGGTGAGTCAGGATGGTTTCTAGGCTCTCCATCTTTGCACACAGGAGAACTTCATTGTTTGTGATCCAGTGCTGATACATGTTCTGCAGGATTTGACAAAGTTTCATTTGATGGAATCTTTCAAATTTGTGGATGTCACTTCTGTAGAGTACCCAGGTCTTACAGGTATACAGTAGTCGAGATTACAACAGCTAGGTAGACCATGAGCTTGGTGCTTTGTTTTAACCCAGGATTGCTGAAGACTCTTTTGAATAGCTTACTGTATGTTGCATGGACAGCTTTGATTCAGTTATTTTGTGTCATAATTGAAACTCTTGTAAAAGGATTTAATCTTTCTTTGTTAGAAAGTTTTGATGCAAAGATACTGTCTATTTAACAAAGTAATCCAATAACTCAATAATTACTTTTATTTAGGCTGTCTTCTTTTTCGTCATCATATCCACAAAGGGAATTTGTGTCAGCAAAGATATAATGCAGCTGGAAAAGTTTAACATATGTAGCCACTAAAAATAGCGTGTGTCCTTATAACTAATATAAACATTCTTCTTTATATTCCATGCCCCTACCTCATGATGTATTCAGTCATGGCTCTCTACAATTTCCTATCCTTTGGGACACTAAGTAAATTCTGTCTTTTCATTATTTCTTCTAAACCCTGTTCTGCCATTCATTTTACTCAAGCTCATTAAGTATGTTATGCTTTGTTTTCCTCTGTTCCCCTTGCTGTCCTCTGAGTATCAGATTTTCCAAGCCCTCCTTCCTGGTGTAAAATGATTGAAGCCAAGATGCCAGCATATTTTGCAAAATCACATCAAATTAAATGAGAGGGGTTTACAGATGCAAAAAAAAAAAAATTATTTTTTACAAAGTTTAAAAAAAAAAAAAAACATAAAGAAATATTTAAAAAAATAATTTCATTCATTTCTGAAAGTCCTGAAAGTTTGGGACATTTTTTTCATCATGTCAGCTGATTTTTTAGTGAATCCTTGGAGGTACCTACTATATTATAAAGAAATAACTAACAATTTTTTATTCATGAATTTATAAAAATGTTTGAAAAAACCTTGTCCATTTTACAATGAAGAACAAGACAAACACCACACTATTGAAAAATTAAAACCGGGTGTAATCTGAGATATAAAATAATGTTGGGGAGCATTAAAATAACAATGCCCAAAATTTTCTAAAAAGATATATTTGTGAACCAAATAAAACTGTGTCAATAAAGGATCCCTTCTTGGTTGGAGAAATTTTTAGTATCCCCTCTCATATATATATAAATGTGTGTGTGTCCAAAACTTATTTCATATGGCACAAGAGCAGAGGTCAGAGAGAGAAGCATATGTGAAACTTATCTTCATCTGGTACAAGGGTAATGGTGAGAGCAGATTGGATTGGAGATGTGTGTGTGTGTGTGTGTGTGTGTGTAACACCAAAGATTCACTAAAAAATGACCATGCATGAAGAAAAGATGTCCAAAACTTAATAAAAACAATTTTTCATTGTCATAATATTTGTGTTATTATTAAGAGGAAAGGCCAAAGGATTTTTTATGCCAAAATTTTTTTTTTTTTTTTTTATCCTTTTTAGAACTTTCAAAACTTGTTTTTCTAG